CTTGGTGCCTCCTGAGGAGGAAACTCGTTTCTTTACCCAAAAGGAAATTTTAAAAATTTTACTTCTAATTTATTTATTTTTTTTAGTTTGTTTATTTTGAGAGCATGAGCAGGAGAGGGGCAAAGAGAGAAGGAGAGAGAATCCGAATCAGGCTCTGCACCATCAGCTTAGAGTCCGATGCAGGGCTCAAACCCATAAACTGTGCGATTATGACCTGAGCCAAAATCAAGAGTTGGAAGCCTAACTGACTGAGCCACCCAGGTGCCCCCTCCCCAATTTTTAAAAAATACTTAATTAATTATTATTATTTTTTAAAGTAGGCTCCATGCCCAACGTGGGGCTTGAACTCATGACCCTGAGATCAAGAGTCACATGCTCTACCAACTGAGCCAGCCAGGCACCCCAAGAAAATCAAATTTTCAGAGCTCTGATGACTGACAATCAGATGTGTTTTGTTTTGTTTTAACTGGGGTAATTAGACTGTGGAGAACTTTGAATAACAAGCCAAAATGGGTTGACATGAGGAAAGAGAAGGTGAATAATACAGAGGCTCCATAGGATTAGCAGAAGTATCAAAGACTAATTATCAGTGCTTTTTTTTTTTTAAATTTTTTTTTTAACGTTTATTTATTTTTGAGACAGAGAGAGACAGAACATGAATGGGGGAGGGTCAGAGAGAGGGAGACACAGAATCTGAAACAGGCTCCAGGCTCTGAGCTGTGAGCACAGAGCCCGACGTGGGGCTCGAACTCACGGACCGCGAGATCATGACCTGAGCCGAAGTCGGCCGCTTAACCGACTGAGCCACCCAGGCGCCCCTATCAGTGCTTTTTTAATTGCAATAAGGGGAATAGAGTTAGGGAGAAAGAAGGACACTAGATATCTGGGGGGAGGAAGGGGGAACTACCAAAATCGGGAAAGAGAGCCTGATGTATGATCCAATTCAGTCAAATTTGACTTAACTACATGCACCAGGTACTGTCCCTGGTGATGGCAAACCAGTAAGGAGGGAGACATAGGAGAGAATGTCTGCTTTTTAAGGGTCTTATTGTGTCTAGCAAGGGAGACAGACAAATGATGACTTATAATATGGGGTCATTGTTGGTTTGACATGAGATGGATATCTTTAGGAGTTACTGGCCAGCCATTCCATGTGTAAGATTTCACATGGTGATGCTCAGCTTTGCTTTTGTAGGAACTGGATTCCAGTAGGTGCCTAATATCTTAAAAAGTGACCCATGCTGGGGCGCCTGGGTGGCTCAGTCGGTTAAGCGTCCGACTTTGGCTCGGGTCATGATCTCACGGTTCGTGGGTTCAAGCCCCACATCAGGCTCTGTGCTGACAGCTCAGAGCCCGGAGCCTGTTTCAGATTCTGTGTCTCCCTCTCTCTATGCCCCTCCCCAACTCATGTTCTGTCTCCCTCTGTCTCAAAAATAAATAAACATTAAAAAAAATTAAAAAAAAAAAGTGACCCATGCTAACCATGAACATACAAGAGTGGTGCATAAGCCAAAATATCAGTTTATTAATTTACAGTGAGGAAAGCTATGTGAACAGCGAAGTTTTAATTAGAAGATTACTTAGCATGGAGAAGAATAAAGGGAAGTAATGGGGTGATGTAAATGTCAAGTGACATCAAACTTTGGTTGTCTGATGCTTCTCCATATCAGGACTGTACCTGCAGTGGGAGCTAGTCACTTTGCTGGTCAGGACACCATGCCTCCCTTGTGATTAATGAACATGGTCACAATTGTTTGATGAACTGCATTTTCTTAAATCTGCATGCTTACTGCCTTCTTTAGTTATGTTACTGCCATTCTGTAGTAATTTATTCTATCTGCTTCTTTGGGAAACAATCTCTTACCATTGTATGTTGATGTTATCAGCTATACCCTTAAGTTTGGAAGATACTTAGGCATAATCTGTGGTTATAATGGAGGTATATACAAGGATAGTGGCAACATAAATAAGGAAACCATTAATACCAACAGTTAGCAAGGATGAACAACTTGAATTGCATGCACTGAATCTTCTAGGAATATAAATTGATACAACCACTTTGAAAACAGTTTAACATTACCTAGAAAAGTTGAGTATTACCATACCCTTTCCCTAGCAATTCCATTCCTAGGTTTTAATAACTTGGAGAAACTCTTGCACATGTATACCAGGAAATAGGTAACAAGATTGTTTATAGCAGAAAAATAGAAGGGGACAACTACAAGTTCAGTCAAATATTCATTTATACAATGAAACACTCTACAAACATGAAAATGGAAGTGCAGCTCTAAAACAGTATTCAGTGAAACAAGCAAGTCACCAAAAAATACATGCTGTATGAGTCCATTTGTGTAAAATGCAAAAAAAGAACAGATCTAAAACTGTTAAGGACATGTCATGTAAGGTAAAACCAAAGAGGAAAGCAAAAGAATGGTTAATTCTTTGGTTAATAATGGTTAAAAGAATGGTTAATTCAAAATTCAATCCAGTCGCTACTTTTTTGGGAGAAGGAGATGCAATTGGAAAGGGGAATATGCAAGTCCTTGTAATGTTCTCTTTCTGAAGCTGGATAGTGCATTCATGGGTATTCATCCTGTCAAATTGTCCACAGTGTCCACTAGTGCCTTACTAGTAGGATGACTGTTAAACTTATGGCCCCTACTGGAACACCTTTGAGAGTAAAGGGAGGGGATGCTCAAAATAATTAAAATAATATTTCTTTGGAAATATTTACTAAGAAATTTGTAACCCCCAAAATAAATATATTAAACCACATTAAAAAGTTTTTTATAATGATTGTCTAGACATTAAAAAAATAGCATAAGCTAAATAATTACTCTTGGTATGTGTTCATATACTTTTATCAGTTTCTTAACAGTTATCTGTCTCAAATACCATGTCATTGGTATTTTTATGAAGTGATTATTTTTTAATGTTTATTATTTTTGAGAGAGAGAGACACAGCATGAGCAGGGGAGGGGCAGAGAGAGCAGGAAACACAGAATATGAAGCAGGCTCCAAGCTCTGAGCTGTCAGCACAGAGCCCGATGCAGGGCTCTAACTCACAAACCATGAGATCATAACCTGAGGCAAAGTTGGACGCTTAACCAACTGAATTACCCAGGCACTCCTATGAAGGGAATATTTTTTCAAAATGTTCTTATTTTTTAATTTTTCCCCCTAAAATTGCCTGCCACCTTCAAGGTTGTATTTGTTGGTTAATATATTTGAAAATGCTTATACCTTCTATTGAATCTTCACTGCAGAGTGTTTTTTTCTTTTTTTGAGAGAGAGAGAGAGAGAGTGCGCGTGAGCGCGCGTGCGTGCGTGCGTGTGTGCATGTGTGTCTTAAGCAGGTTCCATGCTGAGCGTGGAGCCCAACTTGGGGCTCAATCCCACAGCCCTGAGATCATGACCTGAGTCAAATGTTCAACCAATTGAGCCACCCAGCCACCCCAGAGTGTATTACTTTTAATTGAGAAGATATATTCTCAAGATACTTTGTGAGCTTAGTATCTTAAAGTTGGAAGTATACAGTGGAGGTTTACCAAACTTAGTAATGACAACGATGATAATATGTTCAAAAAAAAAAAAAAAACTGAAAAAATCCGGAATAATTGCTAAGCCAAGACAGATGAGATGCCAAGTAGAACAGATATAAGCCAAACCTGTCTTGGGCAGTTACACAAAATGCCTGCAGTTTAACATCTGCATAAGCACAGTTCTGTTAATTTGCTTGTTATTGGACCCAGGTGGCTGCTAGTCAGGGCACTAGCTGACAGACCCCTGTGGTGAATGTTCCTTTCTTCTTAAGAGATGAAAACACGTAAAAGGATCCATAAACTGTTACTGGTTTGAGAAGGAAAATATATTAGTTTAAATATTAAGTTGGAAAACCTTGGGAGAGAGGAGTAGTAAAGGGAATACATCCACACTTTGAAGTACTGAGTGTTTTGCAGCCGAGTAAAGTCGAGCAAAATATCTAAGACTAAGGATTATTTCTTGTTCACATAGGAACATTTTATGAAACAAATGATCCACATTTATGGCTAGAACTTAATAAATACTTTATTTCTACTTTGCATGTTTTGTGGAATTTATTCAAAGTATCTTTTCCTAAAAAAAAAAAAAAGAGGTTAGAGTGGAAGAGAGCCAAAGCATAAGAGACTCTTAAAAACTGAGAACAAACTGAGGGTTGATGGGGGGTGGGAAGGAAAGGAGGGTGGATGGGGGGTGGGAGGGAGGGCACCTTTTGGGATGAGCACTGGGTGTTGTATGGAAACCAATTTGACAATAAATTTCATATATTGAAAAAAAAATATCTTTTCCTATGGAACAGTTCTGTATCTGGAAAGAGGCTGCTTGTGGAGTTTTACCTCATTTGGGAAAGATTCACATGGTGAGGAAATGACAAAGGTCCTTTCCTATAATGAGACTTTGCTGACCACCTTTGCCAGTCAGTGGGTGACGTATCCCAGCATGGTTTTAAAGAAACATTTTCAGAAAGCTGTAATTTTTCCTGTAAAAACACTTTTTCAAAAAAAATTTTTGTGCCTTTTCAAAACCTATTTTTTTCCAGTGGCAAGTGGCTACTCCTCAATGGGGAGTGTATTAATATCCCCCTTTATTAATAGTGAGTCAGAAGATAATGTTCTCCTCCACAATTTACAGTAAAACAAATGTGTCTTAAATATATTGTGCTTAAGCAAAGTTCTCTGGTAGCAATAATTTGAAAGTCACTGATGAGAAAATTTTTATTTTGGCACACATAATGAGTTAATTCCTCCTAAAACTAAGTTATCAGAAATTCTAAATTCTATCAAATGGTTCTTTTAATACATTTGAATAAGAGGTAAGGACACTGAATGATTCATAGACCAGGGTAATGTGTGATGGATAGAGACTATATGACACATAGAAATTACATTTCACTTAATAATAGATCTAAGTAGGTGGAGATGACTTAATATTTTAAATGTGTTTGTTTCTTCTCTCCATAGCTTTAAGAAAAAGTAGAAATCACTCCTGACTGTACTGAATAGCAAAAATTAAGTGACTTTTCCTGTACTGCAAATCATGGCACTACCATTCCGGAAGGACTTAGAAAAGTACAAGGACCTGGATGAAGATGAGCTCCTTGGAAATCTATCAGAAGTAGAACTGAAACAACTGGAAACTGTTCTCGATGATCTTGACCCTGAGGTAGGTGCTAATGAAATAACTTTTCAAACCCTTTGAAACTAAGTAACTTATTTGAGCAGTTAGCTTTTTCATGACTTTTCTCACATACCCCTACATTTTCTCTTTATCCAAATGAATTTTTTGCCTGTTCTTAGTTCCCTCACTTCTGCCCCCACCTCTCCACTCACATGCCAATATATCCTAAACCATTTTCACCAACACCCTTATTTTCAAACATCTGAAATTTCCTGTCCTGTACAAAATCTTTTCTCTTTGGGCAGGGAGCAATGTTTTTGGTAAAATGAAGCAGATAATTAGGTCTTTGATTTATGTCAACCTCTGTGCCTCTTCAGAGCTTCTATACTATGATGGCCCTTGTGTAGAGTGTCTCTAGAAGGTTCTTTGTGACTTTAAATCTTTTTTTTTTTTTTTTTTTTGAGAGAGAGACAGAATGTGAATGGGGGATGGGCAGAGAAGGAGACACAGAATCTGAAACAGGCTCCAGGCTCTGAGCTGTCAGCACAGAGCCCGATGTGGGGCTTGAACTTGGGAATGGAGAGATCATGACCTGAGCCAAAGTCAGACGCTTAACCAACTGAGCCACCCAGGCGCCCCATGACCTTAAATCTAATTGTTACCATTCTAAAAGCTGTTGACCAAATTGAGTAAGTTTCTAGTCATTAGTAGAGTAGACCTAAGTAGATTCTCAGCAGTACTGCAGTCCGTATGGAACAGACCTGAATATATGTATATACGTTTTAATTTGCAAAGTGGGGGGCGCCTGGGTGGCTTGGTCGGTTAAGCGTCTGACTTCGGCTCAGGTCATGATCTCACGGTCCGTGAGTTCGAGCCCCACATCGGGCTCTGTGCTGACAGCTCAGAGCCTGGAGCCTGCTTCAGATTCTGTGTCTCCCTCTCCCTGCCCCTCCCCTGTTCATGCTCTGTCTCTGTCTCAAAAATAAATAAACGTTAAAAAAAAAAAATTAAAAAAAAAATTTGCAAAGTGGGTGTTATTTGTCTTATAAATTACACAAGGCTAAGGTAGAGTCCCTTAACGCCTGAATTGTTATTCTCTGGTATGTACAGGGTGGGGGGTGGGTGGGGAGTCCTTGAGGGGAGACCCCTAAGGTTATGGCTACTTACCCTGAAGGTAAGGGTCATTTGCTAGGTTTCTTCTCTTTACTACATGCTTCTTTATGCTGAGACATTGATTTTTAGTGTCTTTTAAGAATTGAGATAGAGTTTGTTTTATAAAATTATTCTTGTTACTACAACACATTTATTTCCTGCTGGAATGTTTTTGAATTTTTATTGAAAATTCTCCTTTTTTCAGCATTACTTCACTTCATTAATGTGTCTATACCGTAGATCAAAACCCTTAACTATAATTGTTATCACAAGGAAAAGTTTGTGGTACTCATAAGTCTGGGGGTAACCGAGGATAACAGTGCTGTTTTGATCCTGTCACAGCAGTCTCTTCTACAAACAGTTCAACCTATTTAGACCTGTTTCAATCAAGTGGTTGTAGAAGTGGCAGGAGCCTAAGAGCTCATCTAGTCCAGAGTTCCTTAACCTTGACACTACTGACATTTGAAGCTGGATAATTCTTTGCTATGGGGGCTGTCCTGTGCATTGTTAAGTTGTTCAGCATCCTGGCCTCTACTCACTACATGCCAATAGCACATCCCCCTGTTTACAAATGTACCTGGGATTTTTTTTTTTTTAATTAGCTCTGGTAAGATTACAGACATGGAGGAAAAAAGAGTGTATTTCTTATAGTCCCCAAGAGGGAACATGAGAAAACACCTGGTTTCGTCAGGAAGCAGAAGCAGCAAGGAGCAAGTATGGCCCAGAACGATTCTTGTGGTTTCGGAGGGAAGAAATGGGTGAGACAGGATTGGCAAGTTTGAGCAAATTTAGGATTGGATAATTTGAGTCATTTCAGTGGTCTCTGGGCCACAGGAGTAATCTCCAGTTGTCCAGTTACCTGGTCCTGGGTGATTTAGGGCAGGAGCAATAATGGTTTGCTGGGTGAGAGATAAAGGAGGTGGTTGGGATATGGGCTCCGGATTGGTTGGTTTTCATTTGGCAAGCCCACTGCTGGGTGGAGGGCCGAGGAAGTTGTTTGCTATCCTTAGGAATTAGCCAGCCCCCAAGATGGCAAAGCATCATAAAATACAGAAAATAGAAAACATGATTAATGCGTCCTCCCCTTAGTCATGACAACCAAAAATGTTTGCAGACATTGCCACTTGTCCCCTGTGGGAGCACCTTGGTTGAGAAACATTGATCTAGCACTTGCCCTGTGTTTTATAGATAGAAAACAAAAGTTAGGTGACTTGATTCAGTTACTACAATTAAGGAAAGAACTGAGACTAGATCCCTCACTGCCTGATGGCTCCCTGGCAGAGTCTAGTGACCTTTCTGCTAAACTGCAGTGAGTACCCTATTAATACTTGCACTATGCTATACATGTGAAAACTGATGGTTTCTATTTTCTTACTTGCAAAACCATGAGGCCTGCTTCGTTTATGGGGAGGTTTGAGTTCAAACCTCTGGGTGTATTTTGCCGGTTCCTCAACCCCAGTTGCAACTCCCCCAACCTCAGATACTGTTAGTTGAGACTGGAAGAACGATGTTTATTGACAGCATGCCGCTTGTGGGTAAAGTTTTGGGCAAGAGTGCCAGTGAAAGATGAGGTATGAAAAGAGTGCAAGGGTAGTAGTGTCCACTTCTGGCAGAGAAAAGCCGCTGTAACTTATAAATCTCAGAAGATAAGAGAAGGGCAGATAGAGGTTGTATATGGTTCCTTGTTACATTTTGGAGGGCTGTTTTACTTTCCATATGCTGCATTCAGTATATTTATTTGCCAACCTACTGCATTTTCTCAAAACATCTATCTCTACAAGACAGACAGCCAGCCTAGGCAAAAGCTAATTTTTTTTTTAAATTATTTCCAAGGCTTGGAGTATATATCATTACAACAAAATTGTACTGTGAGGAAGAAACATACTTTTTAGTGGCAGTCATTTTAATGAGATCTTTACCTGTTATAAAATAATTATGATCTAGTAACTTGAGTAAAGTATACTCCTAATAAAGCATGGTTGATGAGTTTATAGCCTCCAAAGCCAGTTACCTGTCACTTATTTTGTGTTCAAAAATGTATTTAAGGAGCCAGGATTCCAGCTAATGTATCATTTAAAACCTATGTTTCGGGGCACCTGAGTGGGTCAATTGGTTGAGCATCCGAGGTTGGCTCAGGTCACGATCTCACTGTGAGTTCGAGCCCTGCGTTGGCTTTGTGCAGACAGCTCAGAGCCTGGAGCCTGCTTCGGAATCTGTCTCCCTCTTTCTCTCTGCCCCTCTCCCACTTGTGCTGTTTGTCTGTCTGTATGTCTGTCTGTCTGTCTTTCTCTCTCTAAAAAATAAACATTAAAAAATTACCAAAAAAAAAAACCAAACAACCTATGTTTCACATGATTTTGACCTGGCAGGTGGAATAGCGCAACTCCATTACTACCCCCATGAAAGAGCAGTAGGTATTATTGATGGTGATGGGAAGTAACTTTGATTAATTTGCTTTAATGAGCATTTTTCTTTAGAAGTGTTCTCAAATCTTTATTCAGTAAATATTTGGGGAGCAACCAATAGATTCCGGTACTATGCTAGGCTTAAGGTTATAAGAGTAAGCAAAACAAATGTGGTCTTTGCCCTTATGATGCAGATTGGTAGGAGTGGGGGAGGTAGGCATTAATCAAATAATCATACCATATTAGTATAAGAGCATATAATGGGAGGTTAAGAAAAGCCTCTTTGGGGGAATGGAGCTGCAGTCTTAAAAATGACTAGCAAAAAATGGTGGACAGAGCATTCTAGAGAAGGTCTTTGGTAGAATGAAGTGTGTGGCAGGCACAGGGGAGGAACTAGGGCTAGTGTGGCTAGAATGAGGAGGGTATGTGAGGTGAGGCTAAGGTAGGAGATAATGGAATGGGAATGAGGGATGATGTGATCCAGGGAAACCAGTTGGGAAGTTAGTATAATATTCCCTGCCAGCTTGATCATAGCTTGGACCAAAGTAATGGTGTTGGAGACGGAGAGAAGTAAATAGACAAATGAGTTTTTTAGGAAGTAAAAATGGGTAGGATTCTTCATGCATAGTTCTCAATTTCCGAGTTGGTGGGTAGAAGTCTTGTTTCTTTATTATCTTCCTGTAGACAATTTTGCATTACAAAACACATTCTTAGTGCAGGGTTAGGAACAGACCTCCTTTGTATTTCATATTTATAGATGACCTTTCTGTATAATGTATACCATTACATGAGGAGAGCACAAAGGTGAATTTTATGAAAATTATTATGGATCTCAGCAAATGGCCACAGTTGAAGTGCTATATTTTCTAGTTATAAAATGTACATTCCCTATTATTATCTATATAAGATCTCCCTTTATAATGAAAATTATCTTATAACATCCATGAGATTCAGCATTATGGAAGGTGTTGGCAAAAGAAGGCTGGCCCTTTTATGTGACTTACCGGGCTGCCTTCCATTTCTAAAGCAAAGAATATCTAGGAACAGTGAGACAAGGCAGTATCACCTCTTTGCCTTTCTTTCTTCTTTTTTATTATTATTATTATTATTTTTTTGAGGGCAAGAGAGAGCATGAACAGGGGAGGGGTAGAGAGAGAGGGAGACACAGAAACAGAAGCTTCCTCCAGGCTCTCAGCTGTCAGCACAGAGCCCAACGTGGGGCTGGAACTCACAGACCAAGAGATCATGATCATGACCTGGGTTGAAGTCAGACACTTAACTGACTGAGCCACGTAGGCACCCCCCCTTTTTTTTTATCAGAATTTTTTAAATGTTTATTTATTTTTGAGACAGCACAAGCAGGGTGGGGGGGCAGAGAGTGGGAGGGAGACACAGAATCTGAAGTAGTCTTCAGGCTCTGAGCTGTCAGCACAAAGCCTGAAGCGGGGCTCGAACTCACAAACTGCAAGATCATGACCTGAGCTGAAGTCAGAGGCTTAACTGACTGAGCTACCCGGGTGCCCCACCTCTTGCCTTTCGATGAGCAAAAGGATGGAGCTCACATTGTCTAATCGCCACTTGCTATTCCTGGACTTAGTGAAAATTCAGAGTAGGAACTACAAGAGACAACTTTAACCCATGACCTTGCACCCCTTCCCCACTCTCAGTCCCTCCATGCTCTCAAAAAGATTGTACCCACATGGAACCCCAGAGATATAGCTCTTGTTAGGAGGACATCCATGTGCCTTGGTGCGTGAGTAGCAATGACGGTGGTTGCTGCAGTACATCCTAGTGCTGATGTACATCTATCCATACATTGAACCTTTCACATTAATGTTCTGATATCCTACTGTATGGAATGCATGTGTTTATATGAAAAAGCCTTTACCACGAAATAGAAGTCGTTATGAAGGAATATGATGTATATATCATTTAGAATTCTTTTGTAATAGAATTATTTTCTGTATATGCTTATATGCTGAGCAGTTATTAATCATTAAGAAAACTATTTTTTATTACCATGCAGGACATTTAAAAAGTAAGGAGTGTTTCCTTCTAGTAGAACTTTCTGAAGAAAATGTTTATGTGCTTATTTTAATAATGGAAGTGAATTCTACCTAATAAAGAAAACTTTGTGTAGAACACTTTTACGTTGCTGCCCTAAAATGAAACATTTAATGCCAGTATCACATTCTGGTCTATAAGTCTTTCTTAAATGGGTGATCTGTGGAAGCATATAATGTTGGCATTCTTGGTGGTCATAATGGCTGATTCATCCTCTTTGGCAGAATGCCCTTCTGCCTGCAGGGTTCCGGCAGAAGAACCAGACGTCAAAGTCCGCCACAGGGCCGTTTGATAGAGAACACCTCCTTTCATACCTGGAGAAGGAGGCATTGGAGCATAAGGACAGGGAAGACTATGTGCCCTACACTGGAGAAAAAAAAGGTAACCTTTGAAGTCATTATTCGATAGCATTTGATTTTTCTTTTTATAGGTAAGGTAGGTCTGGAGAAATAATGTTTTTAGAGATGCATCTGACACTGTTGACTTAGAAACTTGTCAGGTAATCTGGCACTTCATTTGCATTTTTCATCAACTTGGCCAGTAAGTTCCTTCTGAATGATTTCTGAGATTTTATTATACAGTGATTTTATATAACACTCTAGTGTGCTGAGGTAAAAATTTTAATTCACTAGTATATTTCAGAATGGAAATGATGTCAAAGCAGTGCTCTGTTCTAACTCCTGTCTTTAAGGAGAACTGTCATAAAATAATTTAGGCCATATTTTCAAAGACTCTTTTTAAAGGAGTCTTCCTTAGTAATTCATAGTTATAATTCCTACAGCCTTCCTTAGTAATTCATAGTTATAATTGTCAATGCTTCATAACCATTACTTTCAGGAGAGTTTTCTAGTCCAGGCCCCTCCCATTGCAGAGTTTGACCTTAGGTAACCTCAGTGGAGACTGAGTATAGCCATATATTTTAAAGTTCTATATATAACACAACATGAAGTAGATTAAGCTACTCAGCTTTCAGTGCGTGTTGGCCTGCAGAGCCAGAGTCTGCTTGCACCCTTGTTGAGGAGATCATGTGTGGAATACCGGCGAATGGTGGCAGCGGTTGCAGGATCTGCAGATTACCTCTTCCAGGCACTGTTTTTACACCTGAATCCTTAGTAATCCAGACAGGAAGAAGGTTAGAGCATAGTGCTTTCTTCTAGTTAGGCTTTAGCTTTTTACTTGGGAAGGAAGCCCTTCTCAGGAATTTGGCCACAGCTCTGTCACGTGGCTACCCCTTAGTGGCAAGGGAAACTTGAAAATTCATTTTAGCATTCTAGCCTCTGTAACAGAGGAAGGCTAGTGAATGATTTTTGAGTGGGTAATTCACGAGGTCTTCATTAAACCTTTTTAAAATTATCTGTCATCCCCAACTCATTTGCTCTTTCACTAGTTTATCTAGTTCAGCCCTTTATCTCTAGTTCAGCATCATTATCTTAGCTACTTGTATTAGAGTTCTCTAGAGAAACAGAAACAGAACCAAAAGGCTCTGTGTTGGGGAGGGGGTGAGATTTATTTTAAGGTATTGGCACGTGTGGTTATGGAGGCTTATTAAGTTTGAAATCTGCAGGATAGGCCGACAGCCTAGAGACCTAGGGAAGAGTTGCAGTTCAAGTCCAAGGGCAGTCTGCCAGCAGAATTCCTTCTTGCTCAGAGACGATCGGTCTTTGTTCTGTTAAGCCCTTCAGCTGATTGGATGAGGCTCACCACATATGGCTTTACTCAAAGTCCACTGATTTAAATGTCAGTCTCATTCAAAAACACCTTCACAGAAACACCCAGGATAATATTTGACCAATTATCTGGGCACCATGCCCAGCCAAATTGGCTCATAACGTTAACCATCACACTACTGTTAGAGATGGGAATGTCTTATCCTCAAATGTTTAGGGCCAGAAAAAGGATTGGAAACCAATACATAGTTTTAAAGTATGGAGAATCACAGAGATGAACAAAAAGGTCAGTTCCTTTGTGTTTATAACAGAAAAGACTACTGGTTATGCTTTCATCCAGACAGCCATACCTATAACGTCACAGTGTTTATAGCTTCAATCCTATTTATACAGGAGAGTATGAGTCTATGAGAATAAACATTGGTTGATCACATTTTACTGTTATGTGTGTTTTAGATGGACTCAAATGGAGGTAGAAATGGAGGGAGAGATATGGGAAGAGAGATGGCAGAAAAAAATAAGGAATTTGAGGACAAAAAGAGAAAATAAGAGATATGAAAGAGCCGTGTTTGTCCTAAATTGACCCAGGAAGCTTCCCAGTATGCTCTTGTTTCATAATCTCCAGTTGCCTAGGGAAAGATCTTGGAGGATTAGAGGGAGTAGGAAAGAAGGTAGAGAAGAATTCTGGAAAACAAGAAAATATCAGAGGGGAGAAATGATAGAGGCGAGGAATATGGGTGGCAAGGAAAAAAAAAATGATGTATCTTCCTTCAACTGGAGTGTGTAATAATTTTGTTTCTTTTTATAACTTATTTATTTATTTTTGGGTTTTTTTTATGTTTGCTTTTGAGAGAGAGAGAGACAGAGCATGAGTGGGGGAGGGGTAGAGAGAGAGACACACACCCAGAATCCGAAGCAGGCTCCAGGCTCTGAGGTGTCAGCACAGAGCCAGACACAGGCTCCAGCCATAGACTGCGAGATCATGACCTGAACTGAGGCGGATGCTTAACTGACTGAGCCACCTAGGCGCCCCTATTTTATTTTTTTAAGTTTATTTATTTTATTTTGAGAGAGAGAGAGATTGTCCCAAACAGGCTTTGCGCTGTCAGCACAGAGCCGGATGTGTGACTTGAACTTATAAACCATGAGATCATGACCTGAGTGGAAATCAAGAAGAGTTGGATACTTACCTGACTGAGCCACCCAGGTGCCCCTAAAATTGTATATATTTTTTAAGATTTTATTATTATTTTTTTAATGTTTATTTATTTTGAGAGATTGAGCAAAGGAGGGGCAGAGAGAGGGAGACTGAGCAGCCAAAGCTTACAGTGCAGAGCCCTGTGTGGGGCTTTAACTCACAAACCGTGAGATCATGACCTGAACTGAAGTCGGATGCTCACCCAGCTGAGCCACCCAGGCACCCCATTTTCTAACTTCTAAAAATTTTTATCTCATTTCTTACACTTTGGATGGGTATGAAGTAAACAGAAGTAGTTGAGTTAAAAAGCAGGTAATTTTGCATTCATAGTCAGTTTTTATAATACATTCACTATTTTTACTGCTTCTTGTAGCTTTGTTGAATACTATTTATGGGCAGCTATGACGCAATGACTAAGACTAGCATTTTTTAAAATAATGAACTTTTTCCTGAAGCGTAACAAGCTTACAGAAAGTGCACAAATCAGAAGGATATAGCTTGGTTGATTATATAGTGAGCACTGCCATGTAGTCGCTACCTGGCTTCTTCCCACTTTTTCTCTTTGTTTTCGGAGGTAACCACCATCGTAGCTTCTTTCTATCTTTGTTTCTGCACATGTGCAAGTAAGGTGGGGGAGGAGGGAGAGGGAGGGACAGAATCCAAAGGAGGCTCCATACTCAGCATGGAGCCCACCATAGGACTCAGTCTCACAACTGTGAGATCATGACCTGAGCTGAAATCAAGAGTCGGACACTTAACCGACTGAGCCACCCAGGTGCCCCAACCATCCTAGCTTCTAATACAATAAATTAGTTATGCCTGTTTTGAAATTTATATAAAAGGCATCATACAGGCTGAATATCTGCTTTGCCTCATTCATACAGTTTTTGTGTGGACCAGATTTGTTAATGGGTATAGTGAAATCACCATAAAAATCCTTTATGGTGTAGTCATTTTATTTTATTTTATTTTTTTAAGACTGTGAGTGGGGGGAGGGGCAGAGAGAGAGAGAAAGAATATGAATCCCAAGCGGGCACCATGTTGTTAGCATGGAGCCCAATGTGGGACTGCAACTCATAACAGTGAGATCATAAACTGAGCTGAAATCAAGAGTTGGATGCTTAACCAGCTGAGCCACCCAGGTGCCTCTGTGGTGGTGTAGTCATTTTTTTTTTTTTAATTTTTTTTTCAATGTTTATTTATTTTTGGGACAGAGAGAGACAGAGCATGAACGGGGGAGGGGCAGAGAGAGAGGGAGACACAGAATCGGAAACAGGCTCCAGGCTCTGAGCCATCAGCCCAGAGCCTGATGTGGGGCTCGAACTCACGGACCGCGAGATCGTGACCTGGCTGAAGTCGGACGCTTAACCGACTGCGCCACCCAGGCGCCCCTAGTCATTTTAAAGGATCGTAAGTGTGATGTTATTACCAAACAAGGGACTTTAATTTCTGTCATGGAGGAGTGGTCCAGAACCACAGAAATGAGGTTTGAATTTCAGGAATCCATGTGATGGAAGCAAATACTACCACCCTAGACTGGGTGGGTCAAGTCTTAGAAGCCATGTTACAGTGTCGTAGACCTGGAGAAGCACAAATTAGTCTTCAACAACTGGGAGACTTTCGTTGTAGAGCTCTACTTTGAAATACTGTAGAGCTAAAAGCCAGCTCATGTTCTCTAATCTACCCTAGGCTCTCATCCTTAAATCAGTTAGCTTTAGTTATCCTTAGTCACTAATACGCCTTCCTTTCTTTGGGTCTCATCCTCAAGATCTTGATCACATTCTAGAAGATCCTGAGAATAATTCATCTACATCTTATTAGCATACCTTCCAACTGAGCTAACTGTGAATCGCCTTCTTAGCTCTGAACGTCCCAAAGCTTTTCTTTCTTTTTAAGGTGTATGTTTTTTTAAGATTTTTAAGATGCCTCTCCTATGACTTTTTATCCTAAATACCTAGATTGAGTCCCAAATTTCTTAATAGCTTATTTCATAGGAGATAGATTTTCAGATTGAGGATGCTTTTAGTCAGTAGAGGTTCTCCTGGTTCTTTATTTTAAAAAAGTTTGCAAACCTGTTAAGGCAAGCATTTTACTTTTTTGTGTACTTGGACTAGTTAGAACATGTAAAATCTGCCATTAATCTCTAAACTTAAAAAAAAATTTTTTTTACACTGAGATGCTATGTTGCAGAATTCAGTGCCCAATGACAGTATTAGCTGTCTTTGCCAGTGCATGTTATAGCAATGTCTCTTAGTTCCAAGTTATGTGCCAAAATCACACAGTGATCTCACATTGTAATTATTGTCAAAGATTGAAAAAGATGACCACTCATTTTTTTAAGCAAAAAATTGGGAACCACTAAAAGGATTATCCAATCATTAAAGTTGACTGCTTCTCCTATTCTGAGACTAATTAAATGATTAATTATACTTGTTCACTGAAAGACACGCCCTCTTTGTGGAGGTAAAATTACACAGAATTGGTGTGACCAAAGGGAATCAACGTAAAACTGAAAA